GTCAGGAGAAACCAGTTCCTGGAGAGGGACATTGGGATTGAGGGGGCAGCGAAAAAGAGGAAGACCCTTGAGAAGATGGATGGACACAGTGGCTGCAGCAATGGGCTCAAACATAAGATCAATTGTGAGGCTGCCTCAGGACTGGGCAGTGTTGCTTTTCTTAACTGCACTCCCTAGGAGTCTGAACCTACTTGATAGCTCCTAGCACCACCACCACCAGCTAGGAGTTAGAAAACGCGCCTGGCTGCCTGGCTATTGGAGTCCACCCTGCTGCGTTACCATTTCTCAGGGTCAGTGGGAAGGACGTGGCCCACTTTCAGAAGAACTGATGTCTGACTGTAACAGCCTTTTGGAAACAAATGGGGTTGAGAATGTTTTTTCCGTGGAGGCGAATCTGGAATTGGAACCACGTACTAGATTACCCCCACCGCCAAAAAAAGAAGGAAAACAGACCAAGTAAACTTCAGCTTGCATGTCTACTCTTGTGTGTACTCCTAGACGCTGTTTTTGCTCATTGTTATTACTATTATGGCCGGATTGTCATCTTGTGTCTTCCTCTTCGTACCTCTCAGGGTCTTCCTGTGTCTTGGCCTGTTGATGTGCCGTGCTAACTTCCCTTTATTGTGCCCTGCCTTTCCCTTCACCCAAGTAAATACGTGTCTACCTACTCTCTAATTACAGATTCACCTTCCCCCCACCTCCTCCCCCCACACTCAAGGAGAATCCATTTAAACAGACACCTTCTTAACCTATCCCGAAATGAGGCTCATCGGATATCATAATTAAGGCTCAAAATGAGCAAGGACCCTTTCAACATAAGAGCAGTGGAAGAAATTGTAAAAGGAAAGATCGTATCTGAACTACACAAAATGGAAACTTCTGCACACACACACACACACACCACCCCCAAAATGCCAGTAATATCCTGATGGGCAACAGCTACACCCCTGCCAATTGATGGTCAGGAGACTTTAGTGATGTCTTCTAATGTTCTGACCTTACACATTCTGCACGGTGCTGGACAGGGATGATGCCAACTAGACACTCCTGGGGAAGGATGGGGGCAGAGATGAACCCATCAATTGGATCACAGCCTGATGACACACCTCCTTGGTCTCATAGGCCTTTTGGTATAGAGAGAGAGACCAGACCGAGTAGGGTCGATGTCTCTTTGGACCTTCATCTGCTGCCAGAGCTGGATCTTGCATCTAGTTCCTCGTCTCCTGTTGCATGGCCTGCTGATCCAAGGAGCTGCCAGCGGACTCCTGAGGGTGGATTCATTCAGCCAACTCCAGACCTCTGCAATCCACCAGCCTGCACCCCCTGCTGTCATCCTGCTTTCTGTTCATCAGCTTACAGGAGTCAGGAGAAACCTGGCATGAACTGGATTGAACTTACTTATTTCTGGAAGCCATTTCTTGACACAGATCTCTTTCTTCTTTCTTTAA